TGTATACATTTATGTTTGCAGGACTGACCATTTGGTATTGGATAACCAATTGGTATGCTCTTCCCTGGGGAAGACTATTTTCCCTGCTCAGTATTCCTTAGTTTCCTGTAGTCCTTTGTCTAGGGTCGAGGCCTCATGAGATCCCCACTTCCACATTGGGATGTCTATTGGTATTGTCCTTGCTTAGGTCTTGTTAGGCATCCATGTTGGTGAAACGTAAAGGGGTAGCTTCTCTGATAATTCTGGGAGATACAAACTTACAACAAACTGCCTGCACTCCTCTTATTTTTTATTTATATACTACAGATTTTGCTTGGATAGTACCATTAGACTTACTTAAGCCGCCTTACAGGTCTACTTAAAACTGATACCAATTGTGACAATATGTAAAAAAATATACACTTACAACATGGTAACTATAGTTATAGTAATATATTCTTAAAAATTGCTAAGAGATTTTAAATGTTGCACAAAATATAAATATGTGAGTGAATATATAATTCAAAATAGCATTTTGTACATAATAGAGATGTACACTTTTAACTAAATATACATTTAAAAAAATTCAATTTCCTCACATGCTATTTTCTTCTCTCTCTATATTTTATTTAATAATGTTTTATTTTTTTTATATTGGACATTCATGAACAGAAGCTGGAGATAAGAGTTATATTTAATTCTGTTGTCTTTTAACTGTTGTACTGGAATGATACATTTTATTATTCCCAATTTGACTGTATTATCTCACCTTCAGAGTGAGTGTTTTCACTTTGATTGAACTCTTTAATATTCCTTATAAGTTAAGTCCACTGTTAATAAGATGATGTCTCAGCAGTTTTGTCTGGGAATAGAAACTTTTATCTCTTGTATTTCTGAATGACAGCTTTGCTGAGTAATCTGTTCTTTTTATCAGTTTTTCCTTTTCTTTCATTAGTTTGAATGTATCATTCCGCTGTCTCCTGCCTGGAAGCTATTTGCTGAGAAATCTACTCACAATCTTATGGAAGAACTCTTATATTTGATAAATTGCTTTTAGTACTTTAAAAATTCTCTATTTGACATGTTAAAATTTGATTATAATGTGTATTAGTTAAAAGCTCTTAATTTTTAGTCACTGTGTTTTATGGCTGTGGATGCTGTTTGCTTGTTTGTTACCCAGGACCTTGAGCATGCTGTAATTCTGCTAACTGATTATACCTCCAGCCCTGTCAGTTAGGGCTTTTGTTTTTTGAGACAGGATCTCCCCATGTGCCTGAAGCTTGCCTGTAGCATGCTGTCTATCTCAAGTTGACTTTAAACTTGGAATTCTCCTGTCTTTGCCTTTCAAGTGCTAGAATTACAGGCACAAACCACATCACACCTTATTTTCACTTTTTAGTCATTCTTTATAAAAGCTTTCTTTATCCTCTTCCTTCTTTTGAAATTTCTATACAGATACATAATTGATTTACCTTTTTTTCTCATTAGATGAATGTACTGTTGAAGTTCTTGTGATGTTTTATCAGCTTAGTCATTGTTTCAGGGATAGATTATTTTTCTTAGTGGTGTATATTTGTTGAATTTCTTATCTTGTCCACTTAACTCTTTTCTTGATGTCATTTAGTTGTCTGTGTTCTCATAACATACTCTGCTCTCTCTCTTTTTTTCCCCCCAAGACATACTTTCTGTCTCCTCTTCTGCAGGGTTCCCTGAAACCTGAGGTGAGACATTCCATTTAGGGCTGTGTTTCAAGATCTCTCATTCTCTATATAATGTTCAGATGTGGGTCTCTGTTTCCACCTTTAATTGATGCAGAGGCAGATAGATTATCGTGAGTTTGAGGCAGCCTGCTTGGTTTATGTAGTGAAAACCAAGTCAAGGCTACATAGTGACCTTGTCTCCAAAAAGAAAATAAAAAGGATGTTTGTTGGCATAGTTTTAAAAACTTTTATTTGGGTTTCTTATATCTCTTCTTCCCTTTTCTACCCCAATCCCTTCCAACACCCCAATATGGGGTAGAAAAGAAAGAAGGTTAGCAGGGAGACGGGTTGTAGTTCTCTCCCCTGTTCCTCAGAAAAGGGGAGTGCCTCCTTATCCACCACAGCTCATCAAGTTGCATCAGGGCTAAGCGTGTCCTCTTCCTCTGTTTTCTGGCAAGGCAGTTCCACGAGGAAAGTGATCAAAAAGCTGGCAAGAGAGTCCATTTCAGATGCAGTCCCCGCTTTCCTTACTTGAGGACCCACATGAAGCCTAAGCTACCCATCTGCTACATCTTTGTAGGGGGCCTAGGTCCAGTTCAAGCATGGTCCTTGGTTGATGCTTCAGCCTCAGCAAGCCCCTCTGGGTCCTGGTTAGTTGGCTCTGTTGGTCTTCTTGTGGAGCTCCTGTCACCTCCAAGTCCTTTTCTCTTTCCTCCCACTTTTGCACAAGACTCTGTACACATCATCCTATGTTTGGCTGTGTGTCTCAGCATTTGTTCTGATGCATTGCTAGGTAAAGCCTCTCAGAGGACAACTCTTGATAGGCTTCTGTTTGTAAGGTTAGAGTATCATTCATAGTGTCAGGGGTTGGCTGTCTCCCATAGGGTGGGTCTTTGGTTCAGCCAGGCATTGGTTGGATAGTCCCTCAATCTCTGCTCTGTCTTTATTCCTGTATAAGCCTCCTATTTTTTTTTTTTAAATATAACAATTAGGATGGCAAAATTAATGGTGAAAAAAAGAAAAAGAAGAAATATTCAGTGTGGCCACATTGGGAGAGGGACAAAGAGCTCTAGTGATTCATCTTCTGGATCCTGACAGGAGATGTAGGTGTTAGAAGAGGGCCAGGGTTTTATGCGTATCTGAGAAGTCCCTGTCAAGGTTGGTCCCACCAGCACCAGCATTGACCCATCATTTTCTCTTCTGTAAGGTAGTTATCTAACAACTTGTAAATCTCTTTCAGGGATTTGGTTTCCCAAGTGCTGAGATTAAAGGCAAGTGTTATTATGCCTAGTGTGACTTCATTTAAATTCTTATAACTCCTTGGCTTGTCCCTGAAAGCATGAACTATTTGGTAGTTTGTTCTCTTTGTCTCATGTTGATATGACAAGGTTTTTCCTGGTTGGTGTGATTTGATCCCACCTTGGGGGAAATAAGTGACAGGCGTTAAGGAGCGAGTGCCAATGAACCCTTTACAGACAATTAAAAGCAACTAAGAAGAAATGGTTCTTATGTCAGGCAAACATAAAGTCTATTCTGCTTGTCCTGTGGATGCTTCTGCATGATGTTAACAATCTAGAGCCTTACAAAACATGGCTGTCAGGATGATCAAATACTTGCTCAGAATTAGCATCCAGAAGTTCCAAAGCTTTGTGATAACACAACCAACTGATTTGAAAATTAAGTGCTTGTTTATAGAGTTTTAATTATTGAAAGGCACTGCTTGGAGTTCCCAGTCTTAGGGCCTGTCTAAAAATTGCCTTTGCTGAAGAGAATCATCATGGTAAGATTAGGAATACACAGACATAAATCCTGGGGAAGGTTCATGTCACTAACAAGTCTGTTTCAGAAGTTATTATCTTTGTAAAGTAGTTTTCTTTAATATATAATATCTGAAATAACCAGTAACAATTAACATCATTTCATGGTGATGTGATGCAATGATGTGAGTTTAAGAGGGACACTGAGACTGATCGTTGAGGGTAAGGGATTTATTAGAAGAGTTACTAATGCCTTGTACAAACAGGTACAAGCATGCAGGGTCTTTGAGGAAAGTTTAGGCTCCAACAACAAAGACAGACAGCAAGGTAGTAGTTCTGAAGAAAGGAAATCAGGGGCCATGCGGCAGAAGTGGGAGAGGGTTCTTTTTTCACCTTTCCGAGGATGGGGTTGTTTCATTGTACAAGCCTGTAACCATGCTCACTGATTCTCAGGCAGGAGGTAGGAAAAGGGATGAGGAGCAGGATGTTGGCCATCAATATTCCCTTTGATGTAAACTCACTTCCCCCGGTGAGCTATCCTGGTACCTGGAAATCTGTTAGCTAGAAACTCAGTGTTTCAGTGAATTTCAAGCGCTGGATGATATCTGTGAGGGGGGAAGGGCCATGTGTGCATTATTGTGGCCTGAGCATTGCATTATTTTTTTCAATATGATGTATGTATGTATGTATGCATGCATGTATGTATGTAGGTGTTTCTGCCAATTGTGTTTGGTTCTATCCTAGGTGCTGGGCTATCCAGCCTCTGTTCCTAACCTTCCAGGCAGTATCTTAGCGTGGGTCTCAGGGCCAGTTATTGATTGGCCACTTCCACAAGTTCTGTGTCACTACTGCCGCCAGCACATCTTGCAGGCAGGACAAATTGTAGGTTGAAGGTTTTGTGGCTAGGTTGGTGTTCCAGTCTCTCCACTGGAAGCCTTGCTTAATAACAAGAGATGACCAGTTCAGGCTTTGTATCCCTCATTACTAGGATTTTCACTAGGATTACCCTTGTTGATTCCTGGGAACTTCTATTGCATTAGGTTTCTACTGTGTCCCTGAAATGTCCCTCAATTTTAGTAGTTTCTCCTAGTCCTGTCTTCCTCCGTCATCACCCCCACCTATTTCCTCCTGTTTCCAACCCTACTTGTCCCCAGTCCACCCTCAAAATCTATTTTATTTTCCCTTCCCAGAGAGATCCATGTTTCTCCCTAGAGCCCTCCTTGGAACTTAGCCTCTCTGGTTCTGTAGATTGTAGCATTATTATTCTTTATAGCTAATCCACTTAAAAAATGAGTACTGTAGGCTTAAATTTTCAAATTCTTACTTTATTTAACTCCTTTACCTCCAACTCCCTGACTTAGGAGATTAGTAAGGAAAGGGGCTGTAGACCTCTTTTAGCTACTTCCTGCTGATTAGGATCATTGGGTCCTTTGGGGATACACTCATCTCAGTCATGATACCAGCAGTTCAAACAGCAAAACAGCAAACCACAGTAGCAGCAGCAAACAGCAAGCAGCAGCGGCAGAGGTGGTTCACTCAGCAGAAATGGCAGGACTCCATCCAAATGGCACAAGTGGCAAAACTCCACCAAAGCAGCACAAGACGTTCTGTGGTGCAAAAACCACAGAATTTTCTCTCTGCAAAAACCAGCAAAGTGATCCAAACTGTTGCAAACTGTAGTGATGCAGAAAGTGTTGTCTCACTGTCTGTGGGCTGCTATTTACCCCTTCTCAGAGTCCACACAAGGATGTTTTCCAGCTTGCAAAAAGCACACCCCTTGCATGAGGTAGTTTCCAGCTGACAAACATCAAGAGGGTTGTTTTCTGTGGAGAGTTCCGGGGCATTTCCACATTTCTTGCAATACTGGTGTTTCCAACAAATTTCATCTACCAAGAGAAAGTAACTATTTGAACAAAGGGAAATATGAAGGAAATGCTCAGGTAAAGTTGGGGAGGGCTTCTGTTCTAATGCTTTGCATTATAAGAATGAGGCTCTTTATTAAAAAGCAAACATGAAAAAATAAGCTCTTGAATTGATGTTGAAACTGTTATATGCTGCTGATAGCAGTAAATGTGCATACATAAAACAAAAAGGTGAACAAAATCTCCAGTAGCATTTTCTTCATGTTGCATCTGTCAAAGTTACATAGTATATCTATATCTGTAAGACCATTTTGTCTACAAATGTAAATACTGAGTTTAATAGTCCAGCAGAGACACTAAGTTCAATGTCTTTTTGTGAACTCCTGGTTTTATCTTTTCCCACAACAACTGCCATGAAATGTTTTATTTAGGAACATGTGCACACCACTCAGGAAAAATAATTTTGCTACAATGTATGTAACTTTCCGACTTGATGATGTTACCATTCACAATATATTGACTGTTAAAGATGCTTACGCATTAAAACAGGAATTATAATGAAAAATATATGGGAAAAATAATGAAGAGCTTTAAAGGAAAATTTAGTGTTTAATTCAGTAGCTCTGACTGTAAACATTGAAAAAATACTAACTGATATTTTTATCCTTGCTTTTTTAGTGATATGCAGCTTTCGAGGCTCTGTCCCCCAAGGACTGGTCTTAGAAATAGGAGAAACCGTTCAGATTCTTGAAAAATGTGAAGGTAAGTGTGGGCCTGTAAAACACACATACAGTGATCAATTACTGTTAGGTTATGCAAATATATTTTTAAGCAGTCCCTGTGAATCCATTATTAATCATATTAAATACTGCTATAAAATCTTGCCTAATTTATATTCAACATAAAGGTGTAAGTTTTTTACTTCAGTGTAGTTATAGACATTTCTGGCCATCAGAATACTAATTTTACATATTATGTCAAATGATCATTTTAAATTTCCTATAAATCTACTTGTACCTAAGTGCATTTGAGTGAATTGTTATTGGTTTATCTTTGTTTTGTTTTTTTGCTGTCAGATTGACTAGATATCTTTAGTTGTAATAAGACCAAATACATGCTCCACTGGAGTCTGATTCCACTACTCTTCTTTTCTCTTATACATATATATTTTTACTATGACATTTATGCATTCTGAAAATATATTTTTCAAAATTCTGCAAAAAAATCAAGTTTGAAACCAGGCCGTCGTGGTGAAATCCTTTAATCCCAGCACTTGGGAAGCACAGGCAGATGGATCTTCATGAGTGTGAGGACAGCCTAGTCTACAGAATGAGTTCCAGGACAGCCAAGGCTACACAGAGAAACCCTGTCTTGAAAAAAGAAAAAAAAAAAACTAACAAAAAAGTCAAATCAGAAATTATACAGAATCAAAATGTTAGCAAAACATTAGGGGTACTGGGAAGATGGCTCAGATGTCAAGGTAGCTGTTGGGCCACACAGGATGATCTGTGTCCTGCAGCTCCATATCTGTAACCCCAGCACTGGGGACTCAGACAAGCAGGTCACTGGAGCCAGCCAGTGTAGGCAAATCATCTGAGCTCCAGAGTCAGTGAGGGACTCTGAATCAATCAAAATAAGGTGGTAAGAGCTGGAGATACGGCTCAGTGGTTAAGAACATGCAGTGTGCTTTCGGAGGACTCAAGTTCCCTTCGCAGTACCCACATTAGGAGGCTTTCAACCAACTGTGACTCTAGCTCTAGTGGGATCCAACATCTCCGGCCTTTAGGGGCTGCTCATTCACATGCATATGTCTACACACATACAAGTGCAAAAAAGAAAAGGTGGTGAGTGATTGAAGACAACACCCTACGTCAACTCTGGCCTCTACATGCATGCTCACGTGGTACATACAAACACGTGTTGGCAGTGCACCTGCATGAACATTTGCACAAACACACGAATGCTCACATGTGTCATACACAGAAATACACAGATGCAAGCAAGCAAAAACCCCCTAAAATAAGAACTAAATTGATGTCATTGGAAATAACTTCAGCAGCCTAGTCTATCTGTTTGGCGTGACTAGAAGTCACTTTATTTTATTTATTTTTTTAGGTACTTTACACAATGAAATGGAGAGGGCAGTATAATGGCAACTTCTTTTACACACTACTACCTCCATAGACTCTGATGTTCCTAGATTTAGATCCTACACTTAATCATATTTGATGTCTTGTTGCCTTACTACTCAGCTCCTACATTTTTCCTAGATTGTAGTCTGCTCCACAGATGTATTTACTCCTGTATAGACTTCTCAGTGTCTTTTTTGATTTTTTTTTTCTTTAGAATTTATTGTAGACAAACTAGCTTTCAAGGTAGATACTCCATTCACTTGTTCAGTAAATTGATATTTGCTGTTGAATTCTAGAGATAACTACATACTGAGATTCTGACTTCAGACTAAAAATCTCAGACAAGACCTTCTCAAGATGACTGACTCACTGGGGTCAGTAACGTGACATTTGCCATAATGCCTGATGACCTGAGTTTGATTCTCAGAACCCATTTAGTGGAAGGAGAGACCTGACTTTCACTGGTGGTCCTTTGATCTCCACATATATATGATATAGCACTTGTAGGAAACACACACACACACACTCACTTTCTTTTTCTCACTTTCATAAACACATATACAAAGTGCATGTGTGTGTGTGTTTAAGAAATGTCTCCCCGCCACAAGGACCAAATATATCTGGGCACAGGGGTCTTTTCTCGGAACTCCAACCAAGGACCATGCATGGAGATAACCTAGAACCCTTGCTCAGACGTAGCCCATGGCAGCTCAGCATCCAAGTGGGTTTTCCTAGTAAGGGGAACAGGGGCTGTCTCTGACGTGAACTCAGTGGCTGGCTCTTTGACCGCCCCCCAATCCCCGCAACTCCCGAGGGAGGCGCAGCCTTACTAGGCCACAGAGGAGGACATTGCAGCCAGTCCTGATGAGACCTAATAAACTAGGGTCTCATGGAAGGGAAGGACTCCCCTATCAGTGGACTTAGAGAGGGGCAGGGAGGATATGAGGGAGGGGAGTGGGATTGGGAGGGAATGAGAAAAGGGACTACAGCTGGGTTACAAAGTAAATAACCTGTAATTGATATAAAAAATAAAAATTGTATATTAAAAAAATGTCTCCTTTTATCTGCACTAAGATATTGAGAAGAGAGGAAATTTTCCCAGTCTGGAATGGTACCAGATTCCAGGTTTTGTCTTTTTATACTGACTCATGATTTATAAGCTATTTTGACTTTGATTTTATCATGTTTTTCTGTAGGTTTTTTTTTTGTTTTTTGTTTTTTTTTTTTTTACTTGATTCAAGTTTCTACTTAACACTTCTGCCTTCTAATTCTCCTCGTATTTTTTGACTTAATGGTGTGTTTTTGTATTATCTATAGTCTTAAAATTGATGCTGGCTGTTCTGTAAGAATGTTTCTTTTCTCAAGCTGGAGAAAACCTGTTTGTTTGTTTTATTTCTGAACTATATTATAGATACAATTTCATACAAATTTAATAGCCTTTTAAAAAGTAGTATTGAAGAAACGATTCATTCCTTAAATAAGCCAATGTTTAAATGGTTCTTTTATGGCTGGGTGGTGGTCGTGCACGCCTTTAATCTCAGCACTTAGGGTGCAGAAGCAGGCCGACCTCTGAGTTTGAGGCCAGCCTGGTCTACAGAGTGAGTTCCAGGACAGCCAGGACTACAAACAGAAACCCTGTTTCGAACCCCCCCCCCCATCCTCAAAAAGAACTTTTATCTAGAGAGATCTAAGCATTATAAATATTGATGAATTCTTTTCCTTTTTCTTTGAGCCCACTAAACCAAATGTTGGCATGATTATTTTGTAGAGGGAAAATAGTGAGTTCAGTCTGTGTTTCTCAGAGAAAATTAGTGAGCGGACAAGGTCAGTCAAATTTACTTACCTAGAAACTTTATGATTATCTTTAGTTTTTTTTTTTAATTCATGTATATCCTGTTAGTTTTTCATTTGTTTAATTTGGTTCTCTGTTTTCTGTCTTGCCTTACTGTAATGTTCAGGCAACAGTCTGTAGCATAAAAGAGTTAGCTATCTGAATCATATATGGAAATGAAAGAAAGAACTTTGTATCTGCCAATGTTATAAACACAAGAGGATATAAGAGAACAATGGTGGATTCCATTTTCTTTAGGTTCCACTGTGCTTAGCAGGAAGATATTTCCTACTCCTTAATGGTGGCATATGGACAAAGTTTACAACTTTTCAATAAAAAGAAAAGTACTTGTAGCTGTAAAATGTTGTTTTTATTAAAACAGGAAATTATTTTATGTGTAGAAATTATGGAATTTGAAGTCAGAGTATTACATTTGTTAATACATCTCTAAACACTTAAAACTATAGCTTTTAAAAGTTTTCATTATTCTTATAAATTAATTTAATGTATAAAAGCAATTGTTTTCATTTAATGTGTAAAAGTAGTAGTTTTCATTTTTTTCCTGTATTGATGTTCTAGGCAATACTAAAAGTATTATAGATTTTGAAACATTATTACATATGTTGAGAAAGTTAAATAGTAGGAAACTGAGGAAATAAAGAGTGATACGTTGAGGATAAAGATTAGCATTCTTCTGTCCTTCATATTTAACTGTTTGAAATTCACTGAATTTCTAGTGTTGAAAAGACTGCTGATGGTTTCAGATATTGCTCTCTTCACACCTATTTTTTTTACTTTGCTTTCCTATAAAAGCAAGTGTAAATATACCATATAATCCCATGCAAACCTCTTAATTTTCTGATCCTCAGTTTTCAAAATGTTAACAAAATGAGATAAAATTACCATCTGCTGAGGTGGTTACGCATGTATGTAAAAAAGCATGCTGGTTACTCAGTGAATATGTAATGAGTCCAAATTTAGGTTAGAGGCAGGTAGATTGGTCTTAGATTCTTGTTGGGCTAGACTTTTTTTAAATTACATTTTTTTACATTAATTACATTTTATTTGCTTTGTATCCCAGCTGTAGCCCTGTCTCTCATTCCCTCCCAATCCCACCTTCCCTCCCTCATCTTCACCCATGCCCCTCTCTAAATCCACTGATAGGGGAGGTCCTCCCCGTTGGGCTAGACTTAATCCTATGGATTTCTAGCTAATTTCCACACTCCTCATCTTTAGAATAAACAGTTGAAGGTGTCTGTGGAAGTTCATGTATTACAGGGAGGGACTTAGCTGAATGAAACGTATGCAGTACCACAATGACTCCAGCTTCTTTGACTTATGTTTCCTGTCCTTAGTTGTCATGATGTTATAACAAGATGGGCAGTTACAGAGCCAAAGCCTGAGATGATCTTACTGTAGTTTACTCATTGCTACTAGTTTTTATGTTTGCCTTAGTGTGAACATTATCAATTGGGTATGGAGGCAAAATAAGACTTTTGAGAGATCTTAGATCTTGAGATCCATGTCTAAAGTCTGTTGGGTTGTTTGAAACTTGTTCTTTTCCCTGGTAGGTTACTTTAACTAAGTATGTTTGTCAGATTTTATAAATAATGGTAGTTTGAAACCATGGTTCTCTGGTCAAAAGGAAGATTTTCATTCATGTATATTCTATGTAAATTTAGTCTAGTAGTAGGCTATGGGCTATCATAAAAAGAAGCTTCAGGATTTGAAGTTTTATGTAGGCTTGTGTTTACTTTTTCCTGGTGGACAGAGGAGGGTTTTAATTTGTTTTGTAGTTT